GTCATTTAAAATGACATTGCACCAAACGCACCTTCCACATGGTGTGTTGTTACTGGGAAAGAGGTGCGCACACATTGTCCGCGGGAACCAGACCTTGGGCGGGCGAATATCTGCAGATACTAGTGGACTTCCGCCACAATTTACAGCCCTGCGTGCAAGCAAACGTTTCTTTCACACAACCACATAAACGCCGTCAATGAACGTGGGATTTTTCTACAGGACTCGATATACCTACACACACACACACAGAAGAATCTAATTGGGTGAGCATGGATAGGGGATGGACCTAGCCGAGTGCGTGAAATGTGGATTCACCTGACCAACGTAATGGGCTTAGAGAGGAGCAATAAGAACACGCGAACGGGTATAATTAGCACAAAAACGCGGAGGAGCTGTTTACAGACCGAGCACGTACTTGATTGGCTGGAACTAGTGTCGGAACCGCACACAACTTTTGCAGCGGTTGAAGCCAGATGACAAATTACAATTAAGACCCGCATTAGCCACTTCGTTAACTCGTGGATAAGGCTGCGTTAGAACGATGAATCAGATGCTACTGACGAAGCTATAAAATTAGAACCGATAAGACAATCATCGTCAGCATTGACACTGCCATGAAAAGTCGTCAATTTGTCGAACTTCACAGAACCAGGCTTTAGCACCTTCAAAGTAGACAAAGCTCCAGTCCACACTTTCAAAGGTGCGAAAATGCAATATTTTTACAGCTGAGCGAACCAAAAGAAACATTTTTCGAGGGTGAAAACGCATTCTCAGAGCCAATGTTGACGGTTAGGTGTTGACGAAAATCTAACGGCACCGTCAGCAAAAAATCAACGCTGACAGCGGATTTTCGGGCTACAGCTTAACAGACAGCTAGCTGTGGACGTAGGAGCGTCTCACCAAGCTAGCTTTTTCAATTATAAGATTGGAAAAAAAAACAAAAACCGTGCATAGGTTGGGACATGATTCAGAGGTTATACATGGAAGACGATGGAAACATCGAGAATGAGTACAGAAAACTCGTCACAGCATGAGACTAAGCAATAAGACCAAAACAAACACCTACTAGGAGCGGGGGATACGCGACTAAGATCGATTTTTACAGGGGAACCGAGGGGCATTACGAAGTGGCATCTAATACATGTAAGGCGAAGCAAACATCGAGAGTAAGTACAAACAACTCGTCACAGCATGAGACTAAGCACTAAGACCAAAACAAACATCTACTAGGAGCGGGGGATTCCCAGCCAAGATCGGAATCGAGGGGCATCAGTAAGTGACATGTAAACACGTGACGCACCGATGGATGAAATTGTGCTCCTCGAGGTACGTCATCGCGCGACACACGTGGATGGCCATTTGCAGAAGCACCGGCGGCGAGAGCAGGTCACGCGGCTGGGTCCGCAAGTAGTCCAGAAGGTTCCCGTTGCACATGAACTCGGTGATGATGTAATAGGGCGGTTCCTGGGTGCACACACCTGTTGATACAAACAAAGTGAAAAGGTGAGAGTAAACCCACCTAACCTCTCCCAAGTGGAAACTTCAAGCAGACACGGCCAAGGAAACGCAAAAGAGTCCAGTTCGGTGACGAGAGCAAACTTTTTGAAGGGTTCCCCCCCTCATCCCCCCAAAACGCCGTTGGACCTAACGTCCTGTACCAACTAAGTGGAAGGCATTACGCAAAAGGTGAAGTGCTGGGAGCCAAAGGAACTCACCCATACCAAGCGATTCCAGCATGCGCTGCTGGCATACAATTTGACATTTCGAAGAGGTGGCAATTTGCACGCATGACGTGGAACCCACGCGTCGGAACTCGGGCAAATTTTTTCGACCAGTACAATTTCGGCATCAAACACGACTGGTTGTGGTGGTGGTCGGTTCCATATCGCCTTCATTTTTAAGGCAAGGAAAACCGACAGGGACATTTGGACTTTTGCGAGGCGTTGGAACGCATGTTATCAAGACAAAAGGTTGACCAAAATCAAGATGATAATCGATGTGTAGACTGAAAGCGAACCGTGGGAGTTCGCGAACTCTCTCAAAACGGACTAAACACAAAATTGTTGTGAATGAAAGCGCTGTTCTAGAACTAACACAGATGCAAATAAGTGGCCGATTTCAGAGGCATTCAACAAGTCAGATCTGTGTAGGATTCTGGACGTTGTCAACAAGTAGAAAACAGTCATCGGAGTCGTTTTGAATTAGTCGCATTAAAGCCGAGTCACGCTTGCAATGCCTGAGTGGTCAGTTAGTGCAGAAATTGATTCCTGAGTGGGGGTAAAACACCCATATCAACTGACATGCTGAGGGCTGAGTTGATGCCCCATCACTGTGACGATTTGCGCATTACATACCGAAGGGTATTTTTGGAATTGAAGACACAAATTCCAAACAGCATCACGCACCTCTGCCGCCGCTTTTAGAATGCCACTGCCAAACAAAGCCTTGGACTGAGATTATAACCAATCACATAGCGACTACAGATAGCTCAATCACATTGGTCCAAAAGCACCGATTAGATAGGATTTCTTAGCATTATGTCTCTTAATACAGTTTCAGATGTCAATTTAAAAAGCTTATATGGGACGAAAAGTTCATGAACACAGAAATCGTGTAAGCAGATTACAGCAGCATCAAGCTGATGTGCTAGAAGGAAACCAAATGATTTCCAAGGGAGAAACAAGTACACTTGATCCGAGTCGGTACTGGTTTCTTAGGCCTGTATGCATTGGCAGAGCCGATTTTCCACGTAAAAATACGCACTTTGAAGGAAAATGAGTGGGTACTAGGGAGACTAAAAGCTCTCTACGTTGAGCTGAATTTACGGCCAGCACATCCCTAAATATGTTTCATTTGAAAGGACGGCAAAGGCTCAAAGACTACTCCTAGAAGGCCTGATCTTTAACACCAGGAATCGTCAAGCTTTTTGTCACATCGAATGGATGCTAGTCATGCGCTCTCAATGGAAGCCAGTTTTTCAACCAAAATACAGTCCCACCAGGAGGTGAACATTTTCGCATTCACGGAAGCTGGAGGCAATTCGACCACACCCTCTGCCCACAAAACTTGCAAGGCACTATAAAAATGGGCTAGCATTTAAAGGCAACTTCCACTGCTACCCTGAAATTGCGTAAGTCGACCTAAGGCAGACTAGTAGCGTGACCTCGGCGGCGAATTATCAGTGGGGTTGGGAAAATGCATGTTGCGTGGCGCAGGTCAGCGAATTGCCGGGGGTTGGGGCGGAAGGAACTTGAAAGCTGCGTTTAGAGCCGATGCCTTCATATTGGAGGGCCAACACAAAGTGCCCACCAAAAGCGCGGATAATCAACGCATGTACGCCAAATACAACCAAGTATGTAATCGATTCGAGGCGTTCTTAGGTAACCCAGAGAGGTGACAATTCCACGTGGAATCTGAGAGGGCACAAACCGACACGAAAGACCCCGAAACCCGGCTGAAACGGATAACGGACTGGGTTAATAGCAGGTGATGACGTGGGTGACAAAGTACGAACTGCTTGAGCTCCAGAACAAACCAAACAGTAATGGAGGAGGATTAACAAGCTGCATGTTCACACAGCACTTGACGGATGACGGAAAACCTGGATTAAAAAGTCTTAACAGAGACTTTGAGCGCTACTGGACCTGAGTAAGAGGGAAAATTTCGGAATGCAGCGAATATCACGAGTGTTCAGACACCAATTTCCAGAGCAATTCGATTTGTTTAGGGAGGAAACCATGAGATGGAGACCAGCTAGGCATTCACGAGACTCGAACAATAAACGTGCCGAAGTAATGACAAAAAGGCACCAGGAGGAGGTATCGGCCCGGTAGGGTTGGGACGGCTACAAGGGCTGGGCCGATGAGATCAGATAAAGACCTGTTCGTGAAAGATGGTGGGTAAACACACAGGCGGAGAGTGCAGAACACAACGCAGACAAATCGGATTGAGCAGAGTGGGGAGAGGTATGAAGTTAGGGGAGGCTTATGTGCAGCAAAAAGCAACCATCTTTGACGATTTACATCAGAAATCGAGCATCTCATGGTCTTGAGCACGCCATGAAAGGTGACTGTTGGTTTAATTTGGTCATGCTTTAACAAAAATTGGCAGTTTTGGATGATTAGGAGAGGGAGACTTCAAAATCGATTTCTTATAGCACTTAATTTTAAAACACAAGGCAGAATCGCTGTAAATAATCATCGTGGATTCTAGATTGACCACGAAAGTAGAAAGCTAAAGGCTAGACAGTCAAAATGTTCACTTGCTTAGCAGAAGCACCACCTACAGCAAAGAACTACAACGAACACACCAATGTCAGCGAGTCTCTCCAGTGTAACATTTTGGATGGGAACAGTTGCAGGTGGAAGGGAAAAATTCCACCAAGAGAAGCAGAAGCAAAGAGTTTGACAAAAATAAAGTGGAATGAAGCGGAGTAAATGAATCGCTACATAGAGGGAACTACCAAAAGCCAGATGGGTGAAGGCGAATCATCACACTAAACATACAAAAAACGTCTCACATAGCAAATACACAATGAAGCGGGCCTATTGGAACTTGGGTTTAAAAAGAGATCGCCGATTGGTCCATGTGTGTCGCTGGTACGCCACGACTACGAGAGTGCAGCATGCCAATTCGCCGTTCTGGAACCGCGTAGCAATAAATCAAAGGTAATCAACAGCAGCAGCAGCAGCATTACGCGGCGTATACTGCCGGACAAGATATCGGGACTCGGTTGACTCATCGTATACCGTCGGTTATGATAACATCGCAATAGGCACGGATTAACGGTGGGGCGTGAAGACATCGTCGGAGGTGGAAAAACTTCCGACCACTTTGTCACCAAACCAGACCAGGTCCACTACACGTATGAAGCAACTAAACAGGCGGTAGCCTTAAAGATGTACGTCAAGACAAATAGTGTCAGTGTGCACCACCTATGGACGACCACAAAAGTTGGAAAAGTGGGTAAGTTAACGCGTCGTTTTACCAGAAGGAATGAGTTGTCCAGCGCTTACCGAGTAGCCGAACTAGATTGGGATGCCGCAGGCTTTTCATCAGGCGGGCCTCCTGTAGGAATTCGTCACGAAGCGTTATATCCTCCTGAATAAACGAAAGAGAGAAGAGAATAAACAGGCTGCTGTCAGGCGAGTTAATCGCTAGCTTTCGCTGCGAGCCCTGCAACGACAGGTGGCGAAGACATCACAGGGAATAATTCATTACAGAGTGGTGGTAGCGAGCCTAGTTATAAAACCCGCTAATTGTTGAAATGAGTAAGTAGGTGAAAGCAAAATTCAGTGGGGTGGCGAGAGCGGGAGCACGTTAAGAACCAGGACCAACATGAGTTACGATCAGGTTTAGCACCAGACGTATTGAGATCAAAGAGAACACCCGGCAAGGCCATGGTTAGCACCAGATCTTGCTGAGAGGATTGTGGCAGCAAATGACCCGAGAAGCTGGAGCGGTGTTGCTCAAAAGGACGCAGGTGTTGTACGACAGCAGGAATTAAAAAAAAGACTGGGCCGGCCGCAAACAGGTAAACAGGAAGTACTTCAGACTAAACTTCAGGTGAGACGGCAGATCAGCATTACGCGGACTAGGAAGGTATCGACTCACTGCTGCTAGGTGATTGGTAATATTTCATCACCGTTTAACTCACAAGCGTCGTTCAGAGTCGTCCCGACGACAGTCGATACACGCATGATCCACATTTAGCGATTAAATAGAGGTGCAATTACAGTAATTTACAATCAGAAGGGGCACACTTAACTGAACCAGTAGGGGACGGCTGTTGAATGGCAAGCGTTAGACTCAGTTCAAGCGCATTTAATGGCACACTGTTCAGGGAGGTAGACACCACAACAGCCTGCAACTTAGTCCTGTAAGACACGAAAAAGTGCGACGAAAACCACGGCGAGCCAATCATGTGTCTTGGTTGCGCGTTACCCAGACTCACGTGGCGCGTGGAAACCACTTATGAATGGAAGAGAGCGCGATTTACAAGCCGGATCATTCTTGCTTTGAGATTAACCCAGCTCACGATTACTGAGAGGGGTTTAAGCAACTTCGATGTTCCTTAATGCTTGCGCCCTGCTACTTCTCACCTTACAAACCTGGTGTGAAGGTGACGAAACATGACCTGGCACCTTTCGTGCGAATCCCACAATCTCGCTGCTGACGGGTGGTACAAGATATTGGAGTCTAAAGGTTTGCGTAATTTCTTCGCGATTTTAAGAAACACACTTAAGCAGGCTCAACAAAATTTGCTACACAACGCTTGGAAGCAGCTGTGGGTCAAAGTCGAAAGAAGATTCGCGATTTTAAGGAGCCTCCAGGACACCAGGTTGTGGTTCCCTGATTAAGCCGGCGTGGCCGTAGTCCGGCAGCCGTCCGCTACACGAGGACAGGCTCTACGCCGTGTTATCATTTAGAGTTGCAATGCATTGAATTCTAGACGCGCAATTAATTAGAATCACCAGGTGTTAAAAATGGGTGTCTTCTGTTAATTACGTGATGCGTACAATGACTAATAAGCACAGAATCCGCGCGCGCGGACACACACACACACACGCACGATACAGAAATCGCAGTTGTGTACCATAGGGGTAGATATTGGTAACAAATCGTTACACAGGTGTTCTTGCGACGGATCGCGTGTGCCTAACCAATACGCCAAAATCAAGTAAACAACGTTCACGAGATGTCCATTGTGGATTTGACGAGTCGACAAAGACGCGTGCATTGGTGATTTAAACATGCCCATAGTTGTGAGCCAAACCCCCATGGCCAAGGATGGGATTGGGGAGATAAATCGATTAATTCCACCGTGGTCCCTATCACCATGCCCATCGTTCTGGTTTGAGAAATACTAAAAAGGGCTTTTCAGATACAGGTGGATTAGTCTTTGATCGGAGTCTGATCAACACAAAAGACCAAGGAGCCAAGAATGTGCTTTAAAACCTTCGTGGTTTATGAGTTTATGAAATATGGGATGGCGTCATGAACAAGAACAGCCGTGGCGACCAAGAGCAAAGGCAGACAGGCATAAGCGATTCAATTAAATTAGTCACGTTAGACAGCACATAAGTCGACAAAAAACCACCACGTTGGGTTACAGTCAAAGAAAAATAGCCATACACACAAACTCGATTCGCGTACCTTCAGCGTTTTCACGGCTACTGTGACATCATAGGGCTTGAAGATGGCTTCGTAGACCACGCCGTATTGACCAGAACCTACGCGAAGAAGGCAGTTTAATGAGCACAGGCACTTGCTGGGTAAAGGTGAACAAGTAATCAATAAAAATGAGGTGCTGTCTAATCCCCTGGGTTGTCGTGCTACATCCACTCTCCTCCTACTCACTGCACACACCACTAGCTCCGTGGGAAGCTCAAATTTCTGTTTTATTCCCATCTGTTAACAGCCACGGTGATAACTACCACATCGGCAATAATAGTCACAAATCAGCCCAAATCACGTCACTTTGAACGTTAAGTTTGAACCACGTAAGATGACCACATTCACCCAGGATACTTGCATCGAGAAACAAATAGGATAGACAAGCCCCTGCGCAATATCAAGGAAGAGTGGTTGCAGGTTTTGGGGGCGAGATGGCCCTAACAATTACCCAATTTGTGCTTCATTATGATGTCCGTGCGGTTGATCTCCCAAGCGTCGTAGTCCGAGTCCAGGCCCTGATTACTGCAGCCCAGACTTCGGTCCATCTTGGACACGCCGTAGAGCAGGGGACAGGCGAGACCGTCGGCGAGTTTCTCGTGGTGCTGGACCAACTCCAAGACCGTGGGAAACCGGCTTGCCTCGTTGATGTAAAACTGCAAGACGCGCAAAGTGCGTTCAGAAGCGCAAAGTACGGTTGTGAGAAAAGGTGGCATGCACGGAAGATTTGCGCATCGGGGCGACCTAGAAATCACCTGATCTTTGCTTGGGTTTGAAGTGCAAAATTACGTAAAGTGGTCTGTGGGAGATGGGTTCTGATTGGCTTTTATTCACAGCGCCACCCCAATCGGCTGACAAGTGATTGTGGACAAGCGATCTTGCATTGCACTTTAGTGGGCTTTAGGGTAACTGATGGTGTCTCCTTTCTCGGCCACCCCAGTGTGTTTGGCATCGTTGCCTCGCTGCTTGCCCCAATTCCGGTCAGGCTTTATTTGCCGGCCCGATAACGTTACACTCTGCTGCTGAAAGCTCTAGCTCAAAGAAGAGTCCTGTGGGATCAATAAAGTGATGCTTTGTTAGTGTTCATGACGGGAAACGCTTGCATCGTCATACGAACCAATGAAACATAGTTCACGCCAAGGCATGCGTGGCAATGGTTTCAGACCGTTGCATTTTGGAACAGAAGCATTCTAAAACTTCTAGAATCTGATATCCACCACGGTGACCATTTGATGACTAGTTCTTTGCCTCCAAACAGCTCCTTAAGCCTACAAACGAGGTGACGAGTGGCAACTGAGGGAAACTTCAAGCAATCAATCCGTTCAGCAGTAGAGTGCAACGTTATCGACGTTTTCCATGGCCAACGGCATTTAAGTTCAACGTATAAATCTTCCTCAGAGTGGAACAGGAGGCTCTGAAGGTCATCGCCTCAACATCAAAACACATGGACGCGGCGCAGTGACTCGAGGTGATAAAGTGGGCGTGCGCGATGTCAGTGGCGTGTGTATTAGTCAGGCAAGATGTCGATAGGCCAGACTGAGTCTGCCCAAGTGGACGTATAAAAAAGGCCAAGCAGCTGATTGGTGGTGATGCGCGGGTGACTGAGTTTGAGGAAATTACGGATTTTTTTTTTCAATTCATCACGTAAGTAGCGTCAATGCACGTCTAGTTGATATGCAACTAAAAAACTGTAAACAGATTAAGCAGGAATTTCACGAGCGTCGAGTCAGCACGCTGACCAAGATGATGCTAGCGACAGAACGGATATGACATTGGCCAAATAGTAAACTAAACAGGCGTGGGTTGAGATAGCGGCTAAATGGCCTGCGTTGTGAAACAAAAGTGTAACGAAGTCGATTACGGAGAGATAAAAATGATATTTTAAACCACCAGAAACGGGTCTAACCTGTGTCAAACTTCAGAAAAAAGTCGTTTGACTAATCACATAACAAAGTAAATTTAGAAAGTCATCGAGTCGAGGCCGTTTTTATCAAGCGGAAACTGGAAGCAGGATTTATCAAGGCCGCAAAATGTGATTAAAGGATAGGAAGGCCTGCCTACACTGACTGCTTTGGTCAAGCTATAGAGTAGGCGTCGACAAGACATATTTTTTGGGCACATGTGTGATTATGGGTAACTCATAACGTAGGGATAAAAGCAGAGAGTGTACTACTCAGCCAAATAAAAGCCAATAATGAACTTTCGACCAAATAACCGCTTAACTTGTTAGATATAGCGCCGGGTTTTGAATTAGTCTGTGAGAAAACCTACAGCAGTGGTATTTGTCGATGTTAATCAAAGTCGGAAGTCATTTCGTTAATCCACAACACAGTTTGGTTTTAAAAGTGACAGCATAAAAATGACGAGAACAAGAAATCTGTGATTATGACTCCTCACTTGGTTAGTCTCATCAGTGCAGACCCGATAGTGAAAAATGCGTCCATCCGATCGAAGGCTGATAGTAAGCTTCCCGAAGTTGCTCTCCGACTCACGCACAAGGAAGCTGCCGGTGATGCCACTGTTGAGGAGGTACTCAGCATAACTCCGATGAATCGCTCCGTGGTACCAGCGCTCACCGATTAGGCTTCGACAGGAGACGTGCTCAGTGCCAGAAGCAGGGAGAGAAACGGGGTTGGTCGTTGAGGAGTCGAAGACGCAGGAAGAAGGTACCCATCCACGCTCCCCCGTGCGTCGACACATTACGTCTAGCCATTCGCCCGTGGGATTTGGGCCGTAAAGCCAGAGCGAATCGCCTGCACAAAAAAAGCAATGCACAGTTCTAGAACAACAAAAAGCAGAGCCTTTAAAGAACAAGGTGCAGCAAGGGATTCTATCTACTGGTCAAGATATAAGTGAATTCCGGGACAAATACGTCTAAAATGTTACATAAACAGACGTGGATACAGTGATTTCAAAGTATAACTCTAGTGTACGTTAGATATTGCCTAAAACTAATTCTCAACATTTTATAAGGTGAGACAAAAACTTCTATTCTAGACTATTTTTTAAACAGAATTTTGCCAGGAGGGAGTTATTAGTAATTTAAAACATTTCTCAGTTTAAAAAGACGATGACGAAAGTACAAAATGTCACAAATTATTTCAAATGCTTCCGTATTGTAAAGGTGCTTGGACTACCTAAAAATTGGTAAATAATTTAACTGTAAAACTGAGTAAAAACCTTTAAATATACTAAAAAGTTACCACCAGAAATTTGTCATGAACAGGGTCCAACATTTTTAAAAAATATATTGTGGCAGTTGATAGACTAAAAATGATGGAAGAACTACTTCCAGCAAACGCAACTCCCAGCTACCACAGAATTCGTTAGCAAGAGTTCATGTTGATAAACAATATAACAAAACAGCATCGAGAGAAGGCACAAAAATGATATTAACTGAGTTGCTTTTCACACGAGGAGAACAAGAAAAGATTGAGTAAATTCCAGACCGCCCATGGACTTTAAATTTAATACAGTGGGAGTTAACAATCCTAGGAACATACCTTTCTTAACGGCGATGGCAGAACTGCATGCGTTCAAGGAAGGATCATAATCGTAAAGTGCGGTCACAGAACCCTCAAGAGTAGGCACCAGATCCAGTGACGAAACGGAAGTTGCATCATCACCACTTTTGAGTTTCTTGCCTAGAATTATAGGATTGCAAATGCAAGAAAAAACAATCCATAAATACGTCGAACAGGGTACTAATGCATTCGCTAGCACAACAAAGATCAGGAAAAAACCGAATTCTTAACAAAATAAAGTAGTTAAACATCCTAGAAACTAAGTACTTACTTCAAAAAAAGTTTTTACAGGTTACGCTGCTTCGAATTACAAATTTTTGGTCATTAAAGTGAGATTATGAATGGGAAAAATTTAGTGAAAACGATATATTTTATACACTTTGAGAATATACAAATATTCCTACATGCTAACCTTTAGCAAGCCTTATGGAAAAGTTCCGGTCACCGTTCTCCGGACAAGCCTTCTTAGCTTTGGCATGTTGGCTACCCATTTACCTTCATCAAAGAAAGCAGCCAAGACTATTTCAAGCTCACTTATGCAGGCCGCTCTTCATTAAAACGTGTAAAACAAAAAATAACATTAAACGATTTTGGTGGTCATCGCATGCAAACTATGCGTAAAATTTCATACTAGGCTTTTTATTGTCTTTTTATACACATATATAAACGGCTTATGTGAGTTACCTTGATTTCATTTTGTTGATTTCTGGTACATAACACAAAAGAGCACTAAACTTTTTTTCGCAAAAAAATTAATGCCACTTGTTGGCTCTAAAATATTGGAGCAGCATAAAAAGATTGGTGAGTTTAACATCGCACTGCATTTTACCCAAAAATTAACTTTCTGTGTGTTAGTTATGTAGTCCAACTGCTTTTTAATCCATTTTTTTAGTTTTAAATGCATCCACAAAACCTTAAAATGCATTGAACTATTTCTGTACGCCAGAAAAGATTTGTAGGGTTTTATTTAATTGTTAGACATCTGTGAGCCTCATGAGTGCTGATTTATATACCGTGAAAAAAGTCTATAACCCACTTTGACAACCTCCAGGATCCCTTTTGACCCCATTTTCGTGGACAAGTTTAGCCATCTGTTAAACGATATGAAAATATTTAAAATTTGTTAAGGTACTGGTTTTGCATCTTACAAATTGCCCTGAAATCCGTTGCTACCAATTTTAGGTTAACCGAATGGAATTGGCCTTCACAATAATTTAAACTCGTTTTGGCTTTATTTTTTTATTTGCTTCTATTCTAAATGAAAGCAACTTAATAATACGCACATTAATATCGAAAGAGTTTTGTTTATATTAATCACACTGTAATAACCACTTGTTTTTATTATATCATTTTGTGATGTGACCACTTTTGTTTTAGGAAAGTCCCCACATATTCATTAGAAATTTTATCTGTTTTTTAAACCTTTACTGAAGTATTGGGATCAAGAAAACTTCCTATTTTATAGATCAATAGTCACGCAATAATATCCCATGGAAATTATCTGACCATCGAGTTCTTCCGGATTTGCAAAAATGTCTAGCCTGAACGGTGGCACGGGTGGCATAAAAGGAAAATCTCCTCTATCAGTAGACTCGAACAGGACGACACGCCATAGACGAGGACCCATTCTGGTTTCAAATGATTCTGTTTTTAGGGCATACCACAAAGCTGAAATATATAAAAAATGACGGATGAGCAAATTGTACAAAAATGCAAGAATTATGTTCCTCGGAACGCTAATTCTATTATACTTGTAATTATTACAGGTAAAAAATATCTAGTTTGTAAAATAACAAGTACGTAAAGTTATTCAGTATGCCGATTTCAAAGTTTTAGCTGTGTTAAATTGAATATTTACTTTGTTAATTGTATAGGCATTGAATGAATGCGCGAAAAGTTTGATTTGATTTGGTCTTAAGTGTTGATGCATATGCGGCTTATAAACGTAATTCTAACAACAGATTATTAATTTTGCAACATCTTTGTTCTTACAGTTTATTTGCACAAATAAAGCATAAATATTTCACAATTTTTTAGGTTTTAATTATCACGCCCATTTTATGGAAATCGGAACGTACGAAGCACGTCGTGATGACCATGTAATGACCAGTCAAATGCCAACGGCCGTACCTACAAAAAAAATTTACTGTTTAGATGCGCATACACATAAGTGGTAAAGAGAAAGATTAGCTACTACATTGAGTTCTTTTGTACTTTGAAGTACAAATTGTTGAAATATTATGGTCAGGGAAAACTGAGAGACCTGTGGTGCCTATTTGTGTATCTGATGAACCTATGAACATTGCTATTATTTAACGCACTGCAAACATTCGTTTTCTCAAATTCCTCCAGATTGCTGCTGTCAACCACATAACACCCATAATTTAGTCGACTTATAGTAAATATGCTCAACTTGTTGATTGGTAGCACCAGTGACACTCGCTCGTAATATTTCTTTTGTGCAATAGAAGTTTAATCTTGATTTCGTGCACTAGTAACATATGTTATTCTTCAAATATGCGTTCACGTTCATGACTCAAAACAGGCAACTTTAACTATTTTAATTGTTTGAGATCTTTGAGGCACGTCTGCGGAAACCAGTTTGTACACCTGGTACCTCTTGCGTAGTTTGTCACGCTCTTTCTAACTAACAGTCGAATTGAGTCTGGTGAATACCCGAAAATGCTAACCCGTTTTGGCAGACGGTTTGTGACTTGGAAACTCCAATGTCACGTGGGTACAAGTAGGTTTATAGAGGACCAGATGTGCAAATTACCTGCACTTCGAATAAAACCAAATATTCAAATCCTTTCCAACCTAAGACGTGGTTGACCCGACAGACAGGGCACTCGACAGCCGTACCTATTTTGATTTAGCAACAAGTTAACACATTGATTTCATTTAGTTCAAACAAATTACCTTTCTTTGCATATCATTTTCTTTAAATTCATAACTATGCGAATGTTCCGATGCAAGATATGTGTTCAAATGTACAAGGGGACACACACTTTAGCGCAATTAACTTTAGCAAGGGTTAAATATAGTTCGGAACAGCAGATAGTGCGCACATATATTACTGACAACAATTTTAAGTAGGCCAGAGCTTGGCTCGAGGCGCAATATTATCACGGATGGTAGGAGCATATTTGAATTTGTTTTATCGAACTCGATAACAAGAGGTTTAAATTTCATTCACGATGATGTGCAGGTGGCAGCGTAATTTTACTTAACAGATGCGTTGGGTGTAATTATGAAACTTAAAATTCACAACACCCGTTTCATAATTAGCACTGATAGACTAAGATAAAGGCAATGCGAAATTTGTGGTAAAAAGGGTGTCTGGTTAGATTTAAAACAGTAATCATTCAAAGAACAAAAGCAATTTGTGCGATCCAAAAAGTGCATTCCACTCAAAGTAGAACTTACGTCATTGAAAAAGACTAGATACTGCAGTGTGTAGTCCTCATCAATAATTGCTAGTGAGTAGTTAACAGGTATGTCTTTCTGGCTTGTGAATTCCTGTTGGAAAGAAAAAAAAATGCGTTGCTTTGTTTAAATTAGTTTATGTAATAGCCGCTTCATATAAGACAAACGCTCGGTGTTCATCTCAGAAAGGAACCCTTAAGGTCGGAAGATAAAGTCGCGGAAAATCTTTTGAACAAAACTCACAATTAAAGGTAGAAAAACCGTCATTAACCTACAGACTTCCGACTTTCCCAGTATTTGGCTTGTGCTTGAGAGTTGTACTACAAATAAATAAAAAAACATTTGAAATATTTCAGTTTGAGGAAAAAAATCAGGCTAATGCGACTTCTACAGAAAATTTAAAAGCTCCACGTTTAATTTACCGCAAAATTCCCCGGCCTGTTAAGTAAAATAAGAACTTCGAAAAGCATTATATTGGTGGATTTTACATTCCCGCAGGTTAAAAATCAAGAGGGGTAATCAATATGAGTAATCAATACGATTGAGGCTGGGTTCATTCCGGACACTCTTGGAGGTGTTTTCGTGTGCTAGAATTTGTGCACATTAAATCTGTACATGTGACTCTATGTAGGTGGTTCTCAGAAATCAAGCACAATTTCACCAGGAAAGTTCATTAGGTCCTCTCACCCGTATTAACAAGGAAATCACGTGTAATTCTCTTTGAGAGCACAAAAGTTACTTTCAATATTGCAGGCTTCTGCTTTGTCTATTTAGGTAAATTTCGCAGGATCGGGTTACGCTGACACACTAGACTGGTGGAATTCACTTGGGTTAAATGAGCACTTGCAACTGTCCACTAAAAGTGCAACTTGTAATTCTTCTGATTTACGTCAGAAAATGAGTTGAAGTTAGAATATAATTGGTAGAAAACAAGGCCTTCTCTAGGGCATTTGCGTAATCGATATACCCCGCTACTCCTGAAGTCATCTAGTTTGCGATTCAAAAGGTCGTTTTTTAAAAAAAGGAAACCTCAAAAGCACTTCAGCCAAACATTGTGGAAAAACTAGATGAGAATTTGAAAAAATGTGTCAGATTATGCTTGATATTCTGATAGTGACAGTTTAAATTTGGTGCAATATGATGGGAATGGTAATTTACCCGCATTTTGAGGACGAATAAGTAATTAGTTTATCTGTAAACAAAGTGATGGGGAATGAAGCGAATTGAACTCACGCAAATACCCACCTCATAAATGCAGCCAAGTGATAAAGTTATAGATTCCATGTCAAGTTCCTTTTTTGTAAATTTAACATGGGCACCACAAAGTCCGAATTCAGTGATAATCACATTTAAGCAGGCTGATTGGCAAATACTATCAAAAAGATCAGGATCTGAACAATTTCTTGGTTTAATCGCGGAAAGAAGGTCAAACGCGCTGTAACTTCGGTTTAGTGCAAAAAAGAAGACAATTAATACAAGCCACGAGGTTTCTGAATTATTGGCTAGCATGTTAGTGGTAAATAACACGTGAAACTAGCCCAATCTTGGGATATTGATCGATAACATCAGCTGCAATGAGGCGCAAATTCAAATTTTACTGTCAGTTAAACAACAGTGTGGTAAAACGAAAAAACTTGAACCAGGGAAGGGAATTTCATAACATACTACCAGCTTGTTGTAAAGGTCAAAGGCATTTAATTTCAGACCATGTTAACAGATTTTTATGAGAGAATAGACACGAAACTACCAGCCTGGTAATTCCTTTACAAGCCATTCAATAGATAGCTATCTTCTCCGTGCATTGCTTTTAATTTCGAAGGCATAAACTTGTGTAAATTAGACTGGTATTTCATTCGAAGCGGTCTCTAGTCTAGTGTGCAGTGCAGAACCAAATATGTGAGCCTGTATCCAGGATAGCAGATCTCATAAGTAAGTAAATCAGGGTTCTGAGGCGTGATACGATCGGCAAGTTGACGTAAACTGGGCCAGGAACATTGGCTTTGAATTTGGGGGTAGTGTATTGATTAGTAACTTCTATTCAGTGATTTATAGAAAAATATTCATTAATTTTTTTGGACAGATTCGAAAAACCAATCTACTGTCTCTGTTATTTGAATTTTAAAAAAAAACTTGTGGAAGGTAATTTTAATTTTTATCAAGCTGAGTATCATCACCGATATTAGTAAAATTTTGAATTTCTGCGCGAACTATTTAAATTGTACTACAATCAGGGAGCATATTTAGAACGCGAGTTTGTACCTTTCACATTTACTTCTAATTTAGCCATTGCATAATCTGGATGCCCCCTTAATTTGCTAATCGAAAAATCGATAAAGCACCGCAATTACACTAGCATTTCTTTTACTGCTACGGTGAAACTAGAAAGTGTTATCAGAACAAAAGTGGTAGGTCGAAATTATGAAACATACTTAAAAAGGGAGTGTCCAAATATTTAGCATCGGCTAACTGGCATTAAGGTAAAAAAGTGAGCCAGTCCAAATCCAAGTTAAAACCCAAAACTTCAAGTTAGATTTCATAAACACAAATGTGAATGCCTTTCGTTTCCGTTCTGATTAACTAAAGAAGATAAACTTTTACTACCCTGACACAACACTACTCTTTAAGAGAAGTACACGTAGGACAGGCAATGGTTGGACTCATGTTGATGATCAAGCATACCCAAGACTATATTTTCAAGCTATAGACAATTTTCTAACTCCCATCATCATCACCATCACCAATCGAGTTTATGCACACCACTCTTGTATTCGTATCTACCATCGCCTTCCTTTCGGCCCATTCACTGTTGAGTGCACAATTTTTCCCACCTGCACTAAAGACCGACCACGCCATATCTAAGTGAAAGTACGATTAGTTTAGTTCCATTTGGGCTTTTGCATCGACGTGCCAGCAAACCGTAGCAATCCTGTTCGGTGTCGTTAGAACAGTTTCTAAAATACCCTGTTAAGGTGATAGTTTACTGGGGTTCGGATGCACGCATACGCTTGTATTGTGGTAGTAATGGAAGGCCATTTCTAGGTGATGACGGACTAATTCTCGTCCATCAACTCCGTCGCCGCGTCCTCCGACACACCATCCCCTTTTCCCCAAAACACGCCGGACCGTCTGTTTACTGACTCTCGCTTTTCATTTACCTCGTCTGGCCGCTCATCCACTTATACTTGTTTAGTAATGAGTGACCTTAACCACACAATCACGAGAGCAGCACAAATTGATTAAAACATCTAATAAACGGTTGTGTCCCCGCCACCTCCGATCTTTTTTCGCCTTCCGGGTATCCGTGTAGCGTAATCGGTCCTGGTGCGGCTTGAGACAGTATTCCACTACCGGCACTATCGATTTTTTCGGAATGCGGTGTGCTTTCTAAATGAACGAAATTGAATGATTGGAGTAACGAAGCCATGCAGCACACAGTCAAGTGGAAAATCAACTGTCTAATGCTGACGTCATGTCAGGCACTGACGTTTGAAAGCAAACTCTCGACAGAACTTACAGGCATGTGCGTTTCTACGGAACAGGCGTGGTTCTTCGCGTGGAATGCCAAGTTTTCCCGCCTTTTGGCTGACGTGTGCATCGCAAGTTGCGCTTATGGCTTGACTTGCCATTCAAGCGAAACTCACTCGAAATCATAAATTATTAACGCATTTACCGAGTTCCTAGTTGCTAAATTACACGAGAGAGTATTTCCCAAGCTAAAAAAGACCAGCCCACAACCCACAGACTATTGGATGTGCTAATTTATAAATCATGTTTTTCGTTTACCCCGATGTGTTGTTTATTTAGGTTGCATTGGATGCGATATTTCTACTACACAGGAAAAGACTACACGATCAACTATGGCTAGTCTAGAATTACCAAATTATTAAACGAGCATGTGTTGCAACCCTAGCTTAAAGCTGCTTTGTGAATTCACACTAAAGCCGCAGTCCGCGTGACTGGGTGACGATAATCTGCTGAAGCAATCACTGCCTCCTTTTGATTGGTTGTCCATCAGGCGCCTTCATGGTTGCGTGTGGTTGGTGGTGACGTGGCTACCTCCAGGGTCCTGATAAACCCTTTGCTGGACGATGGCGTTAATTCGATTCCTCTTAGGCCAGCGTATTACTGTTTATAAAGAGGACACGACTCGAAGTGACAATTTTCCGCCAATCAGAAAAAAGATGAAGTTCCAATGGGATGAAGACTGATTTACTCCCTACAGTTGGATGTTATCCACGTGCTAGGAGTAAAAAGCAAAATTCGAAAACGCAACTTAAAAACATCCATTTTGGGGTTATTCTTCCTACAATTTCCTAGCAGACATCATTATTTTCAGGCGAATTAACAGGCGAAAGTGGAGCTTGTGCTGGATGCGTCTTTTTCCATTCTAGGGGATTCATACAAGTTTGCCAGAAATCTGGTAGAGATTTAGGAGCTATATAGCCTGGTTAAAAATCTATGGGGTCAAAATTACGTCCACTTGCTTCAGTATCGACCTCACTCAAAAATCACGAGGCTTGGAAATTGCAGAGGTTCTCCTGTTGTCGATTCTTCCGATTTTGTTGATACCCCGGAACAGGCATCTACTAACGAGGTGATTTTTCCAAACAAATTCGCTGCGCTTTATTCCCAATGGTGACCTTTGCCTGCTCCAAGCACTTAGGAACCGCATTAATTACAATGTTTCATTCGTTCAGTTGGTTTCTGTCGAAATGCCTGCCACCTCGTCATCGATTTACTGCATTTTCATTCAATCCACATGTAAATCACTTTCGTCAACCATTTTGTACCCGTCCTTACTGTTTACACCAAAAAAAATGTATCTTGCGAATGAATAAACAGTCGCAAATACCTGATCTCGTGATGTCTACCTGGACGCGACGTCACAACAGGCTGGAGGAACTGATGCGGCTCACCATAGATTGTCACCCCTAGAGTGCCAGCGAAATTTCCTATAAATTTATCGGGAGAGAAGTTTAGCATGCAGGCTCGTGGGGGTAAAGCAATAAGAGAATTTGCCAGGGGCAATAAAGAATTGTCTGCCCCAACTATCTCCCCAAAAAAAGCGGGATCTATAAATATTCGAAGTGAACTTCTACGTCAAAAAATTTGGAGGATGCCAAAAGACATCGTTTATTTGCAGCACACAGTCCCCGGCCAACGTTAACATCTGTTCAGAACATACGAACCCCGAGATGGCAAAGTTGAACCAGTTTCGATCATGTAAAATCCCCGACCAGATCCCAAAAAAAGTTAGGAAATACACCACAGAAGAGAGGCTGAAGTATATTTGTCATGAGACTGCTACATGAAAGGAATATAGCTAAGTTAAGAGAAGTAAAAAGACACGAAGTATTGACTAGTTTCAATAAGTTGACCAGAAAAGTGCACGATTTGGTTAGCTAATTTGCGAAGAGATCACCACCGACAGACCAGAATACGGACGTGAACCTACACAGCTGCTCAACGCTTACATCAGCGGTATCTGAGGCGACATTTGCATCAGACAAACAGCTAATACCGGAGACAGGAAGACTAGCAAGAGCAGCCGAGATTTCCTCCTCAGAAGATTCTGTTTGCTTGACCTGAACCATAGGTCCAAGTTTACTGAGTGTGGGGAAACACTGGGTGATAAGTTGGTTTACAGATTCACAAAACTGATTTACTTCTAAGTTAACAGCGACTCCTTTCGGCATGATAAGAATTACAGTGTTCCCCAGAACAATGGAAGAGATAACTAACTCCTGAAGACTTGGGAGCAATTCGCCGGACTTGAGAACGACATTAACGGACCCAAGTGGCTCCTGCCACTTGCGTAAGAGGCATAAGAGTTTATTGGAAAACGCGCAATTCAGTTGATCGCCAAGTGTGACATGTGATGAGGCTGGACTCAGAAGAGCAGCGGAGTCGTCACGCAGGAGTTTCAATTTCGGCAAAATAGAGGCCAGATCTTTCGAGGAGGTAAATGCAGAGAGTCGTTTCTCAAAGGGGAGTTTCTTCCATGTTTGGAGAAGAGCATCAGTGGAATTTATAGTCTTCAAGAGATCACCAGACAGGTTAGAATTACAACAAGTAAAGCTGCCCTTCACAAGAGCCGGTAAGCCGGGAATCCGAACGGTAGGACACTTGGAAGAACACTCCGCAAGGAGGAAAGACGACGCGAGACGATGAACGCCACAGTTCACACCGAGTGCAGTGTAACCGGCCAATTTGGCAAGAACCTGCAGAGAAAGGCTGGAGTTATCAGTCCAAATTGTAGCCGATTTGGGTATTGAGCTAACGTACTCGCCGGCTCCCAAAATCCTTCTCTCCCGGTCGCCGAAGTACTTTGCAATTTTGAGACCTTCGTTTACCGTACGGAATGGTAAGACAATCACTGAAGGGCCCAGTGGGAACGTTTTTGTTTTCTCCACCATTGCTGATGCAGGAGTAAGACCAAAAATAAAGACAGGGCCGGCGTCATCACTGGGACGAACGACTTCGCCTCCGTCATTGCATGCTAGCTTGACGTGGTCTTCAAACTCGGCCTTTAAGTATGACGGAATAGCACAACTATACGAGAGATGTGAATTTTCGTTCAAAGTGCTGCAATCACCAGGTGCTCCTGATAATAGGTTTTTAACTTTCTTGTAAAACGCTTTTTCATAGTCTTGCTCAACCAAAACGACGGAAGGACGCCACGACGTCATTCCAGCATGATAAGACGAAGCTTTAACGATAGCCCTTGCAGCGCTATCCAAATCAGCAGGTCGCATTATCATTTGAATGGAAGAGAACATGAAATCATGTCTTTCGGTCTTATGAATAGGTACAAAATTAACCAAATAGGGTGGGGCACCGGCCACAATAGCCAGTTTTGCAAACACATACAAAGGCAAAATTAATCGAAGAGAAGCACAATGCACAACTACTCCAGTTCCGACAGCAAAAGCTTTCAATATTCGAGTGAGCACAAGGAGGAAGTCATTTTCGAAGGAAGCAACATTGATCAAAACAGGCTTAATTTCGTCTACACAAGAGTTTGTCAAACGCGTTTGTTCGATCTGGTTCAGTGCTTCAGAGAGAAGTAGGGTGTACGTCAGCCTATCAAAGGCAATTAAATCACCAACTTGCAGCTCCAAACTAGCAATGAGTGATTGTGAAAGAATAAAAAAGTCAGCTGCTGCATTTGACGACAAACGCCTAAGGAATTCTTCGACTTTCAGGGAATCATATGCCAACAACTCTTTATTTTTTGAAAACTCACACGTATCATTGCTAAAACAGATAGTTAGAGGTTGTTCTAGATGGCACAGCTTCAGCTCCACCTTCGCATCTGTTTTCAACTTTGGCTTGTCGGGGCTGAATAACGGTCCAATCTGATGAGCACATTCAAATAAAATACTTTGAAGTCCTTTCATCGAGTGAGCGACAACTGGGACTTGCAATGGATCCGAAACAAATGAACTCATTAAAGAGGTCCGCCTCACCGAAAAACAAGATTGCAAATAACCACCGTGGCACAAAACCTAAACTCTAAACTATTATTGGGCAGAAAAGACTTGCCAATCAGATTCGAAAAAAATATGACCCACAGAATATTATTGGGCAGGAAAAGTGGCTACTTATGGCGAGGTGTTTCCTCAGAGCAGCACGGTGTCAAAATATTCATCATTAAAATGACACGACAAATCAAAAACCAGGATAAGAAAAATTAGCGCAAAAATCAAACGACTAAAGTGTAAAATGAGGAGTTTCTATGTTTGAGATGAAAACCATAAGATTTTCACTTTTTTTAATCAAAAAGAAAATACAGAGACCTAAATACGTTAAAAATTTTTACTACAAAACTCGAATTATTTGTGCACAGGCAACTACATTTGCATTTCGCCGATCTGGACACTCAGGACATAAAAGTGTCTTCAAAATAATTTCCATAGACCAAACCGATCCTAAATTGATAAATTATCGCTTAAAGAGAGGTGCCCATATTAGTACATACTTCGTAATGCTCCAAATATAAGCTTAATACCTTCTGTTTTTTGTCAAAGGAGGTCTTTGTTTTGTTTTACGTAAACATTTAACATCATACTAACTTAAATCACTGAGCTCACATATATCCACATTCCGTCAAATTCCGGAGGCAGAAGTATTAGCAAAAAGTATATTTCATGGTTTTGGGGTTATAACAAATAAGGCAAAGTCATGTTATCCGTTTATTAACCGACTGAAGTTTTGTGGGGCCTGCGTTGAGGCTTGGTTATTTATCAAAACAAAGCGCTCTATCACAAAAGATAGGCATAAGATAGTTTAAAAAGGCTTAATTAAAGATAAATTAATCTAGTTTTAGGGCTGATTTGCAGATTTTTACTTCACAATTGACGATGTGAGTTAGGTAATAAATGCAAAAAGAAATTCCTTCAAAATACATGGTTTTGTGTGGGATTTGATAAATTGTTATCCGTACTTTTTGTCGTTTTAGTGGAATGTTTGCCACATCAGTTATGGCTCTACAAACATGACACACCACCATGGTCAAAATTCATTCTCGGATCCTTTAACTTTCATCCAGTGAGGAGATAACACAAATATTATCTTAAAAAAACAAGCAGGTAAACTGCTCAGAAATCGTCAGAGCTATTATTTATTGCATTTCAACAAAATAAACATTTCATACTTCAAAAGCTATTGCAAGAATAATTTATTACAGAAATGGGATTTGGCAACTTTGTTTTGATAGAGTTTGATCCTCGTAGCTTAAGATTCTTCGTTAGATCGACAGCTCTAATGTTCTCTAAACATGGTGGAATTCAAAACATGAATTGCAAAACATGAGCTTAAGAACCCGGCATTTCTGCCTTGGTTGCCGTGGTTCCATGGTGATTTATGTGCACGGAAAACGGTCCACAATCATGAAATGGCAATAGTATTAATCAAATATTAAGAAACGCAATTCTTAACATCAAGTCACTATATATTAAATTTGAAAATAATCGGCAGCAGATATTTTGGTTAGCCCACAACTTTAATAGTAAGAGTTCCTCTACCTTTTGAGAACAAGCTCACAACGGGGGATGCACAAAAACCGCATACACTTGAACGGAGTCTCAGACTTACGCAATGATCTGTAGCTCTTCTAAGCCTACTCACAAAATTGTTTCCAATTAATCTATTATCATTGTGCTCTAGGCAACTTCAAAATTTAGAATTAAAACTAAATGCAAATTGCAAAAATGAAACTAAATTTAGGAGCCGGAACTAAAAATTAGGATTTAAATATAAAAGGAAAATTTAT